TAACATAAGTTATCTCAGGACACTTTTCAAATAGAGCAGGTCTAGACCGAACTCCTTTTAACATTTACAGAGACCCAACAGTACCACCATGGGCAAGACCTTGGCGAACAGGCAGAAACCTAGGACAGAGGTGGGTGGTCTGCCTTGACCAGTTGGGGAGAGATTTTATTGCCTTTATTTGATAGTGACAGCTGAAGATCAACAGGAAAGGGGGGCAGAGAGAGAAGGGATGACACGCAGCAAAGGGCCGCAGGTCAGATTCGAACCCGGACCGCTGCAGCAACTCCGTATATGGGTCACCAGCTCTTGTGTTCTGGGTTTTACATTCATACATATACACCTCACCTTTCACTCACACAGACATTTGCTGACAGACAGATTAAACTGTATTGATTCATTTGCATTTACTTAATTAAATTAACTATTCGCAGGCTGCGTGGTCTTCCTCTCACACTTTTTAACTAGGTTGTGACAGTAGTCGACAGTAGTAAGTGGACCTTGAATTGAACTCCCATAAGGTTGAGAGTGAAATGAGATGAATTAAACAGTGAGAGCAGATGAATGAGAAGAATATATATATATATCATGTAAATATACAGTAAATATACAGAGTTAACAAACTTTATAATAATAATGACTTTATTTCCTTTAAAATTACAAAACTTAATTTCAATTGTCCTGATCTTAAAGTGTCTAAAGATCAAATCTGTCAGGATAACTGTATGTTAATGATGCAGCAACAATAATCAGAGAGCAGCATTTATTAGAGGATTATTATTTATATTAAACTTCTCAAGAAGGAAAAGTTGAAATTTAAGAAGCTAAAAAGGCTTCATTAACATCTGAGGAGTGAAGGTGGGAACAGACTGCCCTCTGCTGGACTGATGAAGAACTGATCTCAGTTTAGCCATCAGATGGAGAAAATGTACACTTGAATCCATTTTTATTTTGTTCGTGAGAGTTTCTGTAAAGACAAACTTCAGTTTGATCTAATCATGTAAAGTCAGATGTGCTTGTATAGAAGATTTAAACCTAATAAAAGTATAAACTTTAGTATATAATGTTCTGTATATATATATTAATGTGATGGTGCTGTTGAAGCCACCTGCTGAATATTTACCCTCCACGGTCCAAACTGCAGAGGTCAAAGGTCACAGACACACAGAGTCAATGACCTCGACTGTGTTAACAGGCTCTGATTCAACCAATCAGAGGACAGCACATTCTCACTGTCTGTCTGTCTGTCTGTCTGTCTTCTTCTTCTTCTGGTATCTCTGCAGTGTGACGATGCACAGCAAAGGAAACTCCTGGTAAGAATATTTAACGTTCATTTAAATATTCTTTTTTACTCTGAACTTCTGCTGACTCATCGATCATCTTCTTCTTTAAGAAATCAATCAATAAATCAGCTAAATAAACTATTTTACTTCATAAGAAACTTCAATAACTTCATTAAACACAAAATGTTCTGAAATCTGAAATATTTCATCAACATCTTCAATTTTATAATTTTCAGTCAGTTTCTGTTTCCAGCTTTTGAATTTATCAGTGAACTGTTCAATAATCTGGAGATTTATCAATAACAGCAACAATGTGACGTGTGCACAGTAAATAAACGCAGTATATTGTGTATATTACATTATATTAAGACAGTATTATTCTGTTATATTATATATATAATATATATATATAAATATATATATTATATTTTACAGCTCAGAGTTGACTCAAACTTAAAGGAAAAAAGCAGAATAAGTTCACATTAACGTGAGATGTCTGACCTTGAGGACTCGCTGTCATTATCAGAACACAGATTAGTTCAGCTCTCAGGGTTTGCTGAACAATAAAATGTTGATCTTTGAACCTGAACAACAGCCAAACTCCACTTTTTACAGTTTCTTCAGTAAAAATCTGCTGTCAGCTCACTTTTCTTGATGTTTCCTCTGTTTGTCTGTTAATCATCTGTGAGGTGTTGAGATATGTATCTATAGATAATATATACTGTAGATATACTGCAGAACAACTGATCGTCAGCAACTTCACAGTTTATCTCAAACGAGAAATCAATCTGTCAGCACAGTTAGATTATTATAACATCCACAGTAAAAACATACAGATCCTCCTGAGTGTTACACACTGGACCTTTAGGTTTATTACAGTGAATGTAAAGATCCTGATTAATAAACCTTTAACACAGACTACAGACCGACCTTTAACACCCACTACAGACCAACCTATAGCCGACTACAGACCGACCTATAGGTGACTACAGACCGACCTTTAACACCGACTACAGACCGACCTTTAGCCGACTACAGAACGACTTTTAGCTGTGTACAGACCAACCTATAGCCGACTAAAGACCAACCTTCAACACTGACTACAGACCGACCTTTAACACCGACTACAGACTACAATCTTTAGCCGTCTACAGACCAACCTATAGCCGACTAAAGACTAACCTTTAACACAGACTACAGACGGATCTTTAGCTGACTACAGACCGACCTTACCACCGACTACAGATGAATCTTTAGTCGACCACAGACTGACCTTGGGCTGACTACAGCTAAGAAAATTTAAGGAGTAACTCAGAATGTTTTGTGTGTTTTCATGATTTAAAAAAAAAAGATTAATCACTTATAAAATTAGTTAATTATTTTACCTTACCCCCAGCTGCTGTTCCTTTGAGGACTACAAACTGACCACAGAGTGGCTGCTTAACCACACGAGTCACCGTCCAAAGGTTGCAGTGATCTGTGGTTCAGGACTCGGCCTGCTGGCTGACGGAGCTGCCAACAAACAGACCTTCAGGTACCAGGATATCCCCAACTTCCCTGTCAGTACAGGTGAGTCTGCCCTGCCCACAGCCTCTGTCTCTTTCTCTCTGATATAATGTCTCTCTCTCTCTGATATAATGTCTCTCTCTCAGTCGCAGGTCATGAAGGCTGCCTGGTGTTTGGGACGATCGAGGACACTTCCTGTGTCTTCATGCAGGGTCACTTCCACCTGTACGAAGGTTACTCCCTCTGTCAGGTGAGTCCTTGTCACCGCAGTAACACTTTACCCAACATGCTGAAGGAGCTGACTTGTGTCCAATATGCATTTTACATTAATTATTATTAATTATTAATTATGTCGCCAGCCGTGCTCTGAGCTTGGGATTCAGTTCACTGAGGTTAACTGAAGCAGAGACTAAACCATGGACGAGGGTCCATCGTTACTCATCTCAAACATCCTCTTTATGGCGTCAAGACAAGACAATGGATAATAATATTATTGTTATATATTAATAATTTTATTTTCCATTTACGTTTTTAGGGAAACATTACAGATGATGATCTACAGTAATGTTTTTTTCCAGGGAAATTGTGTGTACCGCTCATCGGTCAAACATCTTCTGTTAAAATTATAACATTCTCATCTCTCTCTCCCCTCTTTCTTGTATTCTTCACACTATAAACCATCAGTTCCTGAACCTCATAACTCTCTCCCTCCCATCATACCTGGTGATCGGATCACAAATCTGCAATATGGAGTAGCTGTAAATAGAAACAATTGCCCAACTCTAATGCCATACGTGCTGCTGACCAGAGGTGTGTCCACATCAGGTGGGGATTTCACATGAAAAGAATGAGATGCAGCAGTGAAAACCAATTGTGCAAGTTCTCCCACTTAAAAAGATGAGAGAGGCCTGTAATTTACACTTCAACTATGAGAGACAAAATGAGAAAAAAAAATCCAGAAAATCACATTGTAGGATTTTTAAT